AGCTAATACAACTGTTAAGAACCTACAAATTATAGAGATTACTTCAGATTTAGAAAAACTAAGAAAAGCCCAAAGTCCTGAAAGCTGCAGTGTTTAAAGCTATGGCAACCTTTGTAATACCAAGTGCTAAGTATTGTCAGCACAGTAAGCGAACCAGACAATGTGATGCAATCGTTGCGCGAATTCGTCTTGGCTATAGGCACATCTGGCAAGTTAATGAGGCTGAGCCACTATCAGAATATTCGGCGAGTCATAAATACTCATACTCCGCCCAAGTAAAACAGAAACATACAACACTTAGTGGGCCAGCCAGAGGCTTAGGGCCCGTGCAGGAATATCCCTGCCCCCCCCCCCCCCCAAAAAAAAAAAAGAATATTCAGCCTGTAAACTGACAAACCATTAAATTATTCACTTGCACACTGCATTTGTGGAAAATTCCACTCATGTTAATATTATTATTATCTAAGGAATGTATTATTCCATATCATATCTATATATCAGAATCATTATCAATTGATCATATCTACTGTATCTACATCAGCATCCTGCATGACCATTGGTCAAGTACATTATTGGACTTAATACCTATATAATATTGTAGGTGTGATCTCGAGAATCTAGAAACTTCCAGGTAATCAAAAATATTGCTGGAACCAAAGTTCCAACCATAAAGCTTCCAGAGATGTAATTTCAAAATCCTTAATTAAGAACAAAAGGTACTATCAAGTACTGCCAAATAATCTTTAAATCCATTAAGGAATTATTATTTATCACAACAATCAATCTAAATAAACAAAATATTCAATTTAATAATCATTGCCGGCACCTTGACTGATGTCACGGGCCGACGCCGGTGGGGCTGAAGCGCCCAGGGGCCAGATTCAGGAAGGTACTTACGAAGGTTTTTCCTCTTAGCTAAGAACGTTTTCCTTCTTAGCGCCTTCGTGGCGGCTACGTCCATATTCAAGTAGCTACACTAAGTGGAAAAACCTTCGTAAGTTCATTCCGGGATTTAAGTGTGGTTTCGACCACTCGTAGCTTTACGTAAACTGGATATAAGTCATTTTTTCTCTACTACATAACACTGGGATCGATTTATGATATTGGAACATGACCAAAATATTATAGCTGGTGAATCTAGTGAAGAGGAGTCCTTCGTGTTAGTTATATATGCATTCTCTGCTTGAAACTTGAAGTAAATATATGTTTGATGATAGTAGAATTAGTTTTATAATAGCAAGATATTATACCCGTAGTAATTAAGTAAATAGAACACTGGTGAACATGAAATATGAGAGAAGGTGATGAGCCCTGCCTGATGGGATCATTTTCTATCACCAAATGCCCCTGTTCACCTAGTAGTAAGGGTGTACCTTAGCTATACATACCCATTTCTAATTTATTTAGTTTGGTTTTATTTTGAAATTAAATCTGGGTGAGACATAAAATAAAAATATGCTGCACAAATGATGTTAGGTAAGGAGAAGGGTAAAAATGTCAAAAACTATATTCATTGAATACTTAAAGCTATAATTATGACTATATAGACTATTAAAAAAGAGAGAGGGAAGTAGGGGTCCAAGACCTCTTCCTGCTATACAATTTGGGTGTGGATCAAGTAATTATCAAAAGAAGGCACCATGCCGGGAAGGCTATGTAGCAGTAAGGCAGTGAGGTGAGGCAGCTACTTATTTGAGAAATGCTTATTTTATTTACCTTATAAGCTGAGGCAACTTATTTTATTTGAGGAATACTCAGCTGATTCCTCTACATTTAGCATGGAACAAATTTGTGTCCAAGACCTCTTCCTGTTACACAATTTAGCTGTGTGTAACCAAACTAGAAGTGCTCTACAAATCAAGGGACCCAGAATGTGGAATGACCTCCCGAATCATGTCAAAGGTTGTACCTCTCTCAACCAGTTTAAGAGTTAAACCAAGTACTGCCTAATTAACTCCATGTAACCTAACTTACCTCCTAAATGTCAACCCATGTCTTGCTATTTTTTAAACAACGCTGTTCACCAACATGTGCAATTGCTGATTTATGCTATGTTAACCCCCCTTTTTGTATTTTTTATTCCTTCTTTCAACACAATTTATACCTAATCCCGATAACTATTAAGTTTTAGTCTGTGCTTTTTTCCCCACACCTTGCCCGAAATGCTATGAGCATTAGTGGCTTTAGGTATTGTATGTACTAGCTCTGTCTATAAATCCAACATTATGTTTGTAAATCAACTGTATGTACTTTTCCTGAATAAAATGTATTTATTATTTATTTTTTAATCAGTAAGTATTAAAAGAAGGCACCAAACTGGGAAGGCTATGTAGCACCATTGTGTGTAACAATAAACCAAATTTTTTTTTAACAAATAATGCACCTGTATGGTAAAACAAATCCTGTCAGCTGTAAAAATATTGATGCAGTTATTTAAATGAAAAATATAATGAAAGAAATATTACTGGTTTATTTTTATCCTATCTTTTTGTACTGTACAGTATATCCAAGGAAGGGAAAAATTGAGACATAATGCACAATTTAATGAATGATTAGCAGTTCAAAAGAAATATGACTATTACATATCAATATGAGATCTTAATGATCCATGGTCAACATGATTTAATAAGGATAATACAGTACTGAATTTGTAATAATACAAACTATAATTTAAAATCTTTATTACTGATTTTTTTATTAAGAAGATTAGGTATACACAGCAATGTGCTGCTACCCTATTCTATATGGAATATTACACAGTGTAGATAAAAAACTAGCTATAAGTTTATCTAATACTCCCATCTCACAGGATGGTTAGACATACTGTACATGGAATCAATTTAGAAAATACTATACCAGCCTCAATACAAAAAACAAATCAACTCTGACTAAACAACTCTTCGCGATTTTCACAAGAGGTAAGCACTGAATCATGGAAACATTATATTTTAATTACTCCTACCAGTTTCTACAAGACTCCTCTCAAACAATGTATTTTTAAACATGTTTAGGTATACACAACAATGTGCTGCTTCCCTATTCTGTATTAAGGACCACACAGTGTAGATCAAAAACCAGCTATAAGCTCATCCAACATCCTCACCTCACAGGATGGCCAGTCATACATGGAATTAGGAGAGAACAAAATACTTAATGCTGATCTATTAGCCTCCACTGGCAAAATCTGGGTGCAGCACAAGAATATCTTCCAATATTCCTGAGTGTATGAAGTAATTACAGAGCTCAAAATACCTCATACCATTTGGTATGAAGTCACTGATAACAGGGCAATCACAGATATAGTGTTGGAGAGTATGTTCTCTCAAGTAGGACTGAAAACAGATGTTTTTTTCCACCAAGAGGGGTATAAACCCATGGAACCGCCTACCCGCGGAAGCCGTAAAAGCCAAATTCCAGCTAAAAAATATGTGTCCTCATAGCCATCCTCCTACCACCGTAACCAGCAATGGGAAGCGGCTCTGGTGAGGTTGCGTATTGGCCATACACGCTTAAATCACGGTCACTTAATGGAGCGCCGCCCTACTCCTTATTGTCTAAATTGCATTGTCCCTCTTACGGTCGTGCATATCCTTGTTGAATGTCCTGACTTCCAGGACGAGCGTGAGTCTTGTCTTGTTTCCGACCGTCCTTCGAGGTCGATTGTCCCTCGATAGAATTCTTGGTGAATTGCATACTTTTGATATCATTCGCCTTATGCGTTTCTGTTCTCGTGTTAGCATCCTTGGTGATATTTAGCGCCCTCTGATTATTCCGCACATTTGATGGGGCTACATAGCCTTCCCGGTTCGGTGCCTCCTTTAGATAATTACTTACTTACTTACCACCCAATAACTTGGGTATAACATATTTCATACTGCAAAATTTATCGTTTTACTTCATTTACAATACAATTAACAAATAAATTATGATAACAAATAAGTAACGATAACATATAAATTACAAAAACAAATATATCGCAATATAACAGATCACAATAACACAAATAAATCACAATAGACCAGGAATATCACAATACAACAGCACAACGAAACAATAAATAATAAGATATTACACTTGGTAAAAGTGCGTTATAAACATGCATTATAAACACGCCTACGTAGTTAAGTGTAACAAGGAAAATCGTTCCAACTCCATTGAATTCTTAAGTGTTAAATTTGGCCTTATAAAGATGTGGATGGAGGTGGCTTCCAGGAGTTCTTCTTTCAGTGCAGTTCAGTTTCTTTGTTTTTGTTTTTTTGACCACCCATGCAGAGTAGTAGCATTTCCTGACATTTCTTCGACTCATTTGCGTTTTTATCTTACGTCTATTTTCCTTTCATTCAATTTAAGGAGTTTGTACTTGCTAACCTAATCTATTTCCCTCGATATCTTGTATGAACTGATATCTTGTATGAACTAATATCTTGTATGAACTGATATCTTGTATGAACTGATATCTTGTATGAACTGATATCTTGTATGAAGAGTGTGTGAATATCTTGTATGACCGTGTAATGAGAGTGTGTGTGGTAATGAGACTGTGACCGTGGTATGAGTGTGACCGTGTAATGTAGTCTTGTATGAAGTGTGTGACCGTGGTAATGTGTGTGTGATCGTGGTAATGAGAGTGTGACCGTGGTAATGAGAGTGTGACCGTGGTAATGAGAGTGTGTGACCGTGGTAATGTGTGTGTGACCGTGGTAATGTGAGTGTGACCGTGGTAATGAGAGTGTGTGACCGTGGTAATGTGAGTGTGACCGTGGTAATGTGAGTGTGACCGTGGTAATGTGAGTGTGACCGTGGTAATGTGTGTGTGACCGTGGTAATGTGTGTGTGACCGTGGTAATGTGTGTGTGACCGTGGTAATGTGAGTGTGACCGTGGTAATGTGTGTGTGACCGTGGTAATGTGAGTGTGACCGTGGTAATGTGTGTGTGACCGTGGTAATGTGTGTGTGACCGTGGTAATGTGTGTGTGACCGTGGTAATGTGTGTGTGACCGTGGTAATGTGTGTGTGACCGTGGTAATGTGTGTGTGACCGTGGTAATGTGAGTGTGACCGTGGTAATGAGAGTGTGACCGTGGTAATGTGAGGACATACGAGTGTCACGTCCGTTACAGTCTGGAGTACAGTCTGTGATCAGACGTCACAGTCTGTGTCCGTGACCACAAACAGTTCGTAATATAGCAACAAACATCAGTGAATGTCCGTGGTCACAGGTTAATATCGGCCAGTGTCCGTGTCTTACGTCCGTAATAAAGCCATGTCCGCGTCCCGTGTCCGTGGTAAATCAGTGACCAAGGGGGAAGTCATTTTTCCAGTGATCTCGCGGGGACGTCCGTGGTTAGTAGAATGTCATGGAACGACGACAGACGCATACACATGTCCGTAAATTGTTGGTAAGGACGTGAGAGTCCGTGGGTGATTAGGGAGCGTCCGTGGGAGGCCGGTTGAGAACTCCTGTTAGGACGGGGACGTCCATAAGGTTGTCCACAAGGAGGAAGACGAACGGACGGTCGTAGGTGACCTTGGACGGTCCCAGGCGCGTCCCCAGCAGACCTGTGAAGAGAGACAATGAACGCTGCAGTATTGGACGGGAAGAAAGTTAAGGCGTTCACAACTACCTTGTCGACACCAAGCTGACAAGACCCTCTGGCCCAGATGGGCTGAAACTGATACAAGGTGACGCCTTACAAAGACAAGGGGACCCTTACTGAACCCAGGGGACCCTTACTGAACCCAGGGGACCCTTACTGAACCCAGGGGACCCTGACAGAGCCCAGGGGACCCTGACAGAGCCCAGGGGATCCTGACAGAGCCCAGGGGACCCTGACAGAGTCCAGGGGACCCTGACAGAGCCCAGGGGACCCTGACAGAGCCCAGGGGACCCTAGCAGAGCCCAGGGGACCTTGACAGAGCCCATGAGAACCTGACAGAGCCCAGGAGACCCTGACAGAGTCCAGAGGACTCTGACAGAGCCCATGAGACCCTGACAGAGCCCAGGGGACCCTGACAGAGCCCATGAGACCCTGACAGAGCCCATGCGACCCTGACAGAGCCCAGGGGACCCTGACAGAGCCCAGGGGACCCTGACAGAGCCCAGGTGGCCCTGACAGAGCCCAGGGGACTCTGACAGAGCCCATGAGACCCTGACAGAGCCCCAGGAGACCCTGACAGAGTCCAGGGGACCCTGACAGAGCCCAGGAGACCCTGACAGAGTCCAGGGGACCCTGACGGAGCCCAGGGGACCCTAACAGAGCCCACGTGACCTCTGACAGAGCCCAGTGTGAGACGCACCTGTGGCAGCGGCGGCTACGGTGCCCTCCTCTGAGACAGTGACGGTGGCCTGGTGGATGGCGGTGTTGAGCTGGAGGCCGCTGGTGTTGGTGAAGGATCTCAGGTCAGCCGCCCCCGTGAAGATGTCCACCACTCCCAGGTCACTCAGCGCCTGCAGGGGGGGGGGGGGAGCACGTCACTCACTGTTACTCTCAGCACCAGTACACGTCACTCACTGTTACTCTCAGCACCTGTACATGTCTCTCACTGTTACTCTCAGCAGTGAGAGTAACTCTCGCTACCAACCTTTGCAATAGGTGACCGGTGTCTGAAAGGCCGGGCCCAGGAGGCGAAGCTCGTCTTGCAGGATTATTTAGGCGAGTATACATTATATCCCCCACCCCACACACACACACTGAGTGTGGGAGCCGGTGGCCGAGCGGACAGCACGCTGGACACGTGATCCTGTGGTCCCGGGTTCGATCCCGGGCGCCGGCGAGAAACGATGGGCAGAGTTTCTTTCACCCTATGCTCCTGTTACCTAGCAGTAAATAGGTACCTGGGAGTTAGTCAGCTGTCACGGGCTGCTTCCTTGAGGGTGTGTGTATGTGGTGTAGAAAAAAAAGTAGTAGTAGAAACAGTTGATTGACAGTTGAGAGGCGGGCCGAAAGAGCAGAGCTCAACCCCTGCAAGCACAACTAAGTGAATACAACTAGGTGAATACAGTTGCATGTGTATGGCTCTGTTGCAAATGCATATGTTGTGTACACACAAAACATTACACACACTCTTGCTGCACAACAAGAAAAACAACAGTGAAGGAACAAGTAATGAAACTGAGGATAGGGGCAGACAAATTCACTACAAACGACATGGAGGTGTGCAATAAGAAATTCCAGGAGGTCTTCACAGTAGAGCAGTGGAAGTCCCAGAGATGGGAGAGGGAATATCTAACAAAACACCACTAGAATTTTTATAACCAGTGGGGAGGTGAGGAAGCATCTGCTAGAGTTGAAAGTGACAAAGTCTATATGCCCAGATAAAATCTCACCATGGATACTGAAGGAAGGAGCAGAAGCTTTGTGCCTGCCACTCTTCATGGTGTATAACAAATCACTGGTAACAGGTGAAATGCCAAAAATTTGGAAGACGGCTAATGTAGTCCCAATATACAAGAAGGAGGATAGACAGGAGGCACTGAACTACAGGCCAGTTTCCCTAACTTGCATACCATGCAAGATGGAGAAGATTGTGCGAAAAAAGCTAGTGGAACATCTGGAGCGAAAGAACTTTGTAACGCAGCATCAACATGGGTTCAGGGATGGCAGGTCCTGCCTCACAGGATTAATTGAATTCTATGACCAGTACAAAAAAAATCAGGCAAGAAAGAGACGGCTGGGCAGACTGCATAGTTTAGGATGTTTCAGAAAGCCTTTGACACAGTACCACACAAGAGACATGTACAAAAGCTGGAGATGCAGGCAGGAGTGAAAGGGAAGGTTCTCCACTGGATAAGGGAGTACCTAAGGAACAGAAGATAGCGAGTCACTATGAGGGGGTGAGGTCTCAGATTGGCGAGACGTCACCAGTAGAGTCCCACAGGGATCAGTCCTTGGACCTATACTGTTTCTGATACATGTAAATGATCTCCCAGAGGGTATAAAATCGTTCCTCACAATGTTTGCTGATGATGCAAAAATTATGAGGATTAAGACAGAGGAAGACAGTATGAGGCTACAAGATGACCTAGACAAGATGAAGGAACGGTCCAACAAATGATTACTAAAGTTGAACCCAAGTAAATAAAAGGTAATGAAACTAGGTGGAGGAAATAGGAGGCCAGACACGGAATACCGAATGGGAGATGAAGACCTTCAAGAAACGGACAGAGAGAAAGATCTAGGAGCTGATATCACGCCAAACATGTCTCCTGAAGCCCACATCAAAATAATAACATCGGCGGCGTATGCAAGGCTGGCTAGCATCAGAACTGTCTTCAGAAACCTGTGTAAGGAATCTTGTATACCACGTATGTAGGGCCAATTTTGGAGTATGCGGCCCCAGCATGGAGCACATACCTTGTCAAGCACAAGACGAAACTGGAAAAAGTTCAGAGATATGCCACTAGGGTAGTCTCAGAACTAAGAGACATGAGTTACGGGGAAAGGCTGCGTGAAATGCACCTCACGTCGCTGAAAGATAGAAGAGCTCGGGGAGACTTGATCACAACATACAAAATTCTCAGGGGAATTGACAGGGTAGGCAAGGATGGACTATTTAACACGGGTGGTACGCGAACAAGGGGACACAGGTGGAAGCTGAGTACCCAAATGAGCCACATAGTCATTAGAAAGAACTTTTTCAGTGTCATAGTTAGTAAACGGCAAGCACAACTAGGTGAGTACACACACACACACACACACGCACGCACACGTACACACACACACACACACACACACACGCACACGTACACACACACACGCACGCACACGTACACACACACACACACACACACACACGCACACGTACACACACACACACAGTTACAAGAGTAACTGGTAGGGTGCTCCAATGAAAAAGGGAGTACCTAAGCAATAGGAAGAAGAGAGTTACAGTGAGACCTCAGATTGGCGTGAAGTTACCAGCGGAGTCCCACAGGGCTCTGTACTCGGTCCTATCCTGTTTCTGATATACGTAAATGATCTCCCAGAGGGTATATACTCATTCCTCTCAATGTTTGCCGATGAGGCCAAAATTATGAGAATCATTAAGTCAGAGGAGGACTGCTTAAGGCTTCAAGAAGACCTGGACAAACTGAAGGAATGGTCCAACAAATGGTTGTTAGAGTTTAACCCGAGGAACCTTGTAAGACCATCACCACTGAACAGAAGTGTTCAAAAAATGGTTTTGATAAAAACGTGCATAGAATGCAACATGAAGGTAGATTACCAACAGAGCTTTCAATGCCAACTCTGTTCAGCAGCCATACACAAAAAATGTGCCAACATGACTAACAATTCAAGGAGAAATGGTCCCAGTGACCACTCTGTGTACTGGCTCTGCAAAAAGGATGATGTAACTTTTTTGAAATTGATGGAAATCCTGGATAAAACTCCCGCCGAAAACAGAGAATTACTAATTAATGCCTGCATAGCAATTTCTAATGTCTTCAAACAAACTGTACATGACACCAAGGTACAACCAGCTGTAGCACAGAGCTCGGTGGCAGCGGCGCCTGAGCAGGGCGCGGAGTCGGGGATGCCTGAGCAGGGCGCGGAGTCGGGGATGCCTGAGCAGGGCGCGGAGTCGGGGATGCCTGAGCAGGGCGCGGAGTCGGGGATGCCTGAGCAGGGCACGGAGTCGGGGACCCCTGAGCAGAGCGCGGTGTCACAGGCACCGGAGCAGAGCGCGGTGTCACAGGCACCGGAGCAGAGCGCGGTGTCACAGGCACCGGAGCAGAGCGCGGTGTCACAGGCACCGGAGCAGAGCGCGGTGTCACAGGCACCGGAGCAGAGCGCGGTGTCACAGGCACCGGAGCAGAGCGCGGTGTCACAGGCACCGGAGCAGAGCGCGGTGTCACAGGCACCGGAGCAGAGCGCGGTGTCACAGGCACCGGAGCAGGGCACAGTGTCGGGGGCGCCGCAGCAGAGTGCGGTCCCTGGCAGAGGGAAACAAACAAAACAAGGCCCCAAAATCTGTTGGTATTACAGATGGGCTACCTGTAAGCATGGGGAATCGGGAAGAATAAATGGAACATGTACACACGATCACCCTAGAAAGTGCAGAAACCTCCTCAATACAGGTAAATGTACCAAAAGCTGTGAATTCTTTCACCCAGAAATTTGCAAGAACTCTTTGGACAGGAAAGAGTGCTTCAATGCTGAATGCCCAGCTTTTCATATAAGAGGTACCAGGCGAATAAAACCGACAGACTACCACTATGAAAACAGCCACTACTCCATCAACCGGGATAATTTTTTAGCAAGAGGAGGAGGAGAAGAATGGCTAAAAATGACCAGACTCTACCACCAACTCGGTCAAATGCTAGAGAGGACGCAAACACAGTGGCCTCCTTACCAGAGCCTCAGATATTAACACCAATTAAAGCATCCAGCACTTCCACTAACACGATAACATCATTTATATTTGCCAACATCCAGGGTATAAAAACACGCAAATCCAACAAAGTTCATTTTATAGATGGTCTCCTTCATGAGGCAAATGCAGTGTTTGCAGCCCTAACGGAAACTCACACAAAGGACTACCTTGATGGTGAAATATGGATCTCAGAATACAATCTCTTCAGATGTGATAGGAAACACCGGCTTCAGGGTGGGGTCAGCCTCTACATCAAAGACACACTCATCTGTACTGAGCTGCTAAACACCTCAAATGATATGGTGGAAGTGCTGATAGTCAAAATAGAGATCCTAAATGTAGTTGTTGTCCTTGTATATAAGTCACCGGAGGCAAACCCTCAGCAGTTTAAAGACCAACTAATGAAAATAGAACACTGCTTGGAAAACCTCACAAATCCAGCTCCGAACATCATCCTGCTTGGGGACTTCAACCTACGGCACCTGAAATGGAAGCACCTGGCTAATACAGTAATATCAGAAAGAATACCAGGAAGTAGCCTAAATGAGCAGGCACATGCAAATGACCTGCTACGGATGTGCGATAGGTTTGCCTTAAACCAGCAAATAGTAGAACCAACTAGGAAGGAGAACACGCTGGACCTCATTTTCACTAATAATGATGAGTTGATCGGGAACATAATGATTACAAATACCTGTTACTCAGATCACAACTTAATTGAAGTTCTGACAACCATGGGAAATGGACCTTCAAAACCAGTCCAGATTCCCGGTGGAGGAGATTTCAGCAAATTCAACTTCAATAATAAACGGATAAACTGGGAGCAAATAAACCAGGACTTCACAGAAATAAACTGGGAAGAACAGCTAGGAAATGCAAACCTGAACCAGTGCCTGGAAAAAATAAGCTCAGTAGCACTAGAAATATGTTCAAACCGCATACCCCTAAGAAAAAAGAGAAAGAGATGCAGATTGGAACGGGAACGTCGTTCCCTATATAGGCGAAGAAAACGAATCGCGGAACAACTTGAGAGTCGCACCCTATCTCAAGAACGGCGTAGAAGGTTAGGTAGAGAAATAGAAACAATTGAACTCAAGCTACAAGAATCATACAAAACCCAGGAGAGGCAAAGAGAGCAAAAGGCCATCAGTGAAATAGAGAGAAATCCGAAATATTTTTTCTCCTATGCAAAATCAAGATCAAAAACCACATCTAGTATCGGGCCCCTGCGAAAGGGAGATGGAACTTTCACAGATGACAACAAAGAAATGAGCGAGTTACTGAGGAAGCAGTACGACTCTGTTTTCAGTGAGCCATTAAATGCACTAAAGATTGATAACCCAAATGAATTTTTCATGGATATGATACCAACATCAAATCACATATCAGACGTCGCCCTATCCCCACTAGATTTTGAAGAAGCCATAAACAGTATGCCTATGCACTCTGCACCAGGCCCGGATTCTTGGAACTCCATATTCATCAAGAACTGTAAAAAACCACTATCGCAGGCCCTTCACATTCTGTGGAGACAAAGCCTAGATACTGGCGTTATCCCTGACATACTAAAAACAGCAGAGATAGCACCACTCCATAAAGGAGGAAATAAGGCAGAGGCAAAAAATTACAGACCGATAGCACTAACATCGCACATCATAAAAATTTTTGAGAGAGTGCTAAGGAGTAAGATCACAAAATACATGGAATCACAGCATCTCCATAACCCCGGACAACATGGTTTCAGAACAGGGCGCTCTTGCCTGTCGCAGTTGCTGGACCACTATGATATGGCATTAGATGCTATGGAAGACAAACAAAACGCTGATGTAATTTACACAGATTTCGCAAAAGCTTTTGATAAATGTGACCATGGTGTTATTGCACATAAAATGCGTTCAAAAGGAATTACCGGGAAAATAGGCAGATGGATCTACAATTTCCTGACTGACAGAACCCAATGTGTAATAGTCAACAAAATAAAATCCAGCCCATCAACCGTGAAGAGCTCAGTCCCCCAGGGTACTGTGCTTGCTCCAGTACTTTTTCTCATCCTCATATCGGACATAGACCAGAACACAACCTATAGCACTGTATCATCCTTTGCAGATGACACTAGGATTTTCATGAGAGTTGGCAACATAGAGGACACGGCAAACCTCCAATCAGATGTAGATCAGGTCTTTCTATGGGCTACAGAAAATAATATGGTATTCAACGAGGATAAGTTTCAGCTCATGCGCTACGGAAAAATTGAAAATATAAAAACAGAAACCACGTACAAAACGCAGGCAAATCATAACATAGAACGAAAAGGCAATGTAAAGGACCTGGGTGTACTCATGTCGGAAGACCTTACCTTTAAAGAACACAATAAAGTAGCCGTCGCAACTGCAAGAAAAATGACAGGTTGGATAACAAGAACTTTTCACACTAGAGATGCTATACCGATGATGATACTTTTCAAAACGCTTGTGCTCTCTAGAGTGGAGTACTGCTGCACAATGACAGCCCCTTTCAAAGCTGGAGAAATTGCTGACCTGGAGAGCGTGCAGAGATCCTTTACTGCTAGAATCCACTCAGTAAAACATCTAAACTACTGGGACCGACTAAAGAGCCTAAATCTGTACTCCCTTGAGCGCAGGCGGGAGAGATACATAATAATTTACACGTGGAAAATAATTGAGGGGCTGGTCCCAAACCTGCACACAGAAATAACACCACATGAGACCAGAAGACATGGCAGGATGTGCAGAATACCCCCGTTGAAAAGCAGAGGTGCAACAGGTACTCTGAGAGAGAACTCTATCAACATCAGAGGCCCGAGACTGTTCAACACGCTTCCACTACACATAAGGGGCATAACTGGCAAACCCCTCACAGTGTTCAAGAGAGAACTGGATAAGCACCTCCAAAGGATACCTGATCAACCAGGCTGTGACTCATACGTCAGGCTGCGAGCAGCCGCGTCTAACAGCCTGGTTGATCAGTCCAGCAACCAGGAGGCCTGGTCGACGACCGGGCCGCGGGGACACTAAGCCCCGGAAGCACCTCAAGGTAGCCTCAAGGAGGAAATATAATGTAATGAAGATAGGAGTAGGGAGCAGACCAGATAGAAGGTATCATTTGGGAGAAGAAATTCTTCAAGAATCAGAGAGACTAAAAGATCTGGGGGTTGATATTACGCCAGACCTGTCCCATGAAGCCCATATCAAGAGGATAACATCAGCAGCATATGCCAGGTCTTTAGAAACTTGTTTAAGGAATCATTCAGAACCTTGTATACCACATATGTCAGACCAGTCCTGGAGTATGCGGCTGCAGCATGGAGTCCATACATGGAGCATGGAGTCAAGCATGAGACTCAATTGGAGAAGGTTAAGAGGTTTGCTACCAGACAAGTGCCGAACTGAGGAGCATGAGCTATGCGGAGAGAGTATGGGAATTAAACCTCAGGTCGCTAGAAGACAGAAGAGTTAGGGGGGGACATGATCACGACATACAAGATTCTCAAAGGAATTGACAAAGACAGTTTATTTAACACCAGGGGCACACGCATTATGGGACACAGATGGAAACTGAATGCCCACAAGAGCCATAGAGACTTTAGAAAAAAAAATTGTTTAGTGTCAAATTAGTTGACAAATGGAATGCATTAGACAGTGATGTGGTGGAGGCTGACTCCATACACAGTTTCAAATGTAGATATGATAGAGCCCAATAGGCCTAGTAACCTGTACACCAGTTGATAAAGAGTTCAGAGGCAGGCCCAAAGAGCCGAAGCTTAACCCCTGCAAACACAACTAGGTGAATACACACACATACACACACACACACACACACACACACACACACACACACACACACACACACACACACACACACACACACACACACACACACACACACACACACTCACAGGATAACTAAAGAACCAACCTGCTTGAGCAGGTCAGAGATGGAGGAGGTCACGGAGAACTTAGGTAAGGTGATTTCTATTTCAGTGAGAGCCATGAGGCTCCTGGCCTCGAGCAGCCTCCTCCTGCTGAGCTTCTCCACCACCAGCTCCGGCAGCCCCACGTCCACCGCCGGCAGCAGCACCAACAGTGAGAACCCGGACTCGTAGGGCAGCTCCAGCACGGAGGCGTCCAGCGGGGTGCTGTAGGCTGCGGGGGTAACAGTCACGGCGTCACTTCACTACTCCAATAACACAACAAAGTAAACAAAAGAGAGAGAGGAATTCTTAGACTGTACATTCCTCGATGGTCAGTTGTGATTGAGTGGAGACAACTGACCACCTGACCCTGCATGACTAACCATCCTGTGTGACCGGCGGCTCTTTAGCATCAGAGCTACCGTATTCACTCTCGTGTTCTTGATAATATCCTCATAATGCACCCAGAGTTTGCCAGTGCAGACTACTGATGACGGGGTGCTGTATACGACCACTCCTGTGTGATGGGGCGTTGTTACATCACGTAGCTACTTCTCAACACCCGCTGTGCTTCCCTTCATATAGTCCAGGGCAGCTCCACAAATGGTCATGAACCTGTATTTGTTAATGGCAAACATCTTAATACTGTCCCACACAAGAGACTCCTCTACAAGCTACAGAAGCACGCTGGAGTACCGGGAAGGTGTAGAGCGAGGGGAGTACCTCTCGGGAGGGGAACAAAAGGTTACAGTGAGATCGGAAACATGAGAGTGGAGACGGTTAACCATTGGTGTCCCACAGGGGTCAGTGTTAGAGGGGTAACGGGTGGTGTCCCACAGGGGTCAGTGTTAGAGGGGTAACCATTGGTGTCCCACAGGGGTCAGTGTTAGAGGGGTAACGGGTGGTGTCCCACAGGGGTCAGTGTTAGAGGGGTAACCAGTGGTGTCCCACAGGGGTCAGTGTTAGAGGGGTAACCAGTGGTGTCCCACAGGGGTCAGTGTTAGAGGGGTAACCAGTGGTGTCCCACAGGGGTCAGTGTTAGAGAGGTAACCAGTGGTGTCCCACAGGGGTCAGTGTTAGAGAGGTAACCAGTGGTGTCCCACAGAGGTCAGTGTTAGAGGGGTAACCAGTGGTGTCCCTCAGGGGTCAGTGTTAGAGGGGTAACCAGTGGTGTCCCACAGGGGTCAGTGTTAGAGGGGTAACCAGTGGTGTCCCACAGGGGTCAGTGTTAGAGGGGTAACAGGTGGTGTCCCACAGGGGTCAGTGTTAGAGGGCTAACCAGTGGTGTTCCACAGGGGTCAGTGTTAGAGGGGTAACCAGTGGTGTCCCACAGGGGTCAGTGTTAGAGGGGTAACCATTGGTGTCCCACAGGGGTCAGTGTTAGAGGGGTAACGGGTGGTGTCCCACAGGGGTCAGTGTTAGAGGGGTAACCAGTGGTGTCCCACAGGGGTCAGTGTTAGAGGGGTAACCAGTGGTGTCCCACAGGGGTCAGTGTTAGAGGGGTAACCAGTGGTGTCCCACAGGGGTCAGTGTTAGAGGGGTAACCAGTGGTGTCCCACAGGGGTCAGTGTTAGAGGGGTAACCAGTGATGTCCCACAGGGGTCAGTGTTAGAGGGGTAACCAGTGGTGTCCCATACACAAATGGTCATGAACCTAAGTGTGTTAATGACAAAAATCTTGACACTTCATATCAGTATTCTCTAACGATGCAAAAGTAATGAGAGTAATAACAGTTGGGACACAGGGCGTGACATCGAGCAAGGACCTCACCACACACACTCATCAGGTGGTCTGAGAGTGACTACTCAACTGTAACTCAGGCAAATTCAAGAATTATGAGGTTAGGAGCACGAGTGAGTAACCCCGAACAATAGTACTGAGTAAAGATAAGGCAGATTACTGCGTCAGAAAAAGAGAAATACACGTATATAGACGTACCACCAGAAGCCCATACCAGCACCATGAGGGCAGAGGTACACCTCACCAACACCCACTTGACAACCTACATCACGGCAGCCGACTTTTTCCTCTTATGAAGTTTATTTACTGTTTACTAACAAGGGTTACACTAATAAATGGAGAGTTGTGAAGGGTAGAGAAGGTGGTGAAGGGTAGAGTAGGTGGTGAAGGGTAGAGTAGGTGGTGAAGGGTAGAGTAGGTGGTGAAGGGTAGAGTAGGTGGTGAAGGGTAGAGAAGGTGGTGAAGGGTAGAGTAGGTGGTGAAGGGTAGAGTAGGTGGTGAAGGGTAGGGAAGGTGGTGAAGGGTAGAGTAGGTGGTGAAGGGTAGAGTAGGTGGTGAAGGGTAGAGTAGGTGGTGAAGGGTAGAGTAGGTGGTGAAGGGTAGAGTAGGTGGTGAAGGGTAGAGTAGGTGGTGAAGGGTAGAGTAGGTGGTGGTGAAGGGTAGGGAAGGTGAAGGGTGAAGGGTAGGGAAGGTGGTGAAGGGTAGAGAAGGTGGTGAAGGGTAGAGTAGGTGGTGAAGGGTAGAGTAGGTGGTGAAGGGTAGGGAAGGTGGTGAAGGGTAGAGTAGGTGGTGAAGGGTAGAGTAGGTGGTGAAGGGTAGAGTAGGTGGTGTAGGGTAGAGTAGGTGGTGAAGGGTAGAGTAGGTGGTGAAGGGTAGAGTAGGTGGTGAAGGGTAGAGTAGGTGGTGAAGGGTAGAGTAGGTGGTGTAGGGTAGAGTAGGTGGTGAAGGGTAGAGTAGGTGGTGAAGGGTAGAGTAGGTGGTGAAGGGTAGAGTAGGTGGTGAAGGGTAGAGTAGGTGGTGAAGGGTAGAGTAGGTGGTGAAGGGTAGGGAAGGTGGTGAAGGGTAGGGAGTAGGTGGTGAAGGGTAGAGTAGGTGGTGAAGGGTAGAGTAGGTGGTGAAGGGTAGAGTAGAGGTGGTGAAGGGTAGGTAGAGTAGGTGGTGAAGGGTAGGGAGTAGGTGGTGAAGGGTAGAGTAGGTGGTGAAGGGTAGGGAGTAGGTGGTGAAGGGTAGGGAGTAGGTGGTGAAGGGTAGAGTAGGTGGTGAAGGGTAGAGTAGGTGGTGAAGGGTAGAGTAGGTGGTGAAGGGTAGAGTAGGTGGTGAAGGGTAGAGTAGGTGGTGAAGGGTAGAGTAGGTGGTGAAGGGTAGAGTAGGTGGTGAAGGGTAGAGTAGGTGGTGAAGGGTAGGGAAGGTGGTGAAGGGTAGGGAAGGTGGTGAAGGGTAGAGTAGGTGGTGAAGGGTAGAGTAGGTGGTGAAGGGTAGGGAAGGTGGTGAAGGGTAGAGTAGGTGGTGAAGGGTAGAGTAGGTGGTGAAGGGTAGGGTAGGTGGTGAAGGGTAGTGAAGGTGGTGAAGGGTAGGGAAGGTGGTGAAGGGTAGGGAAGGTGGTGAAGGGTAGAGTAGGTGGTGAAGGGTAGAGTAGGTGGTGAAGGGTAGGGTAGGTGGTGAAGGGTAGGGTAGGTGGTGAAGGGTAGAGTAGGTGGTGAAGGGTAGAGTAGGTGGTGAAGGGAAGACGATGAAGGAGGGGGATGTGTAGGAGAGGGAAGGTGGTAGAGAGTAAGGAAGGAGATGGAGAGGCAGGTTTGTAGAAGGGGAACCCCGCGCTGCCCGGGTAGTTACAGAGATGAAGCAATAGTGTAGATGGTTACAGTGATGAGGATGGTCGTGTGTAGTGTAGATGGCTACAGTGATGAGGATGGTCGTGTGTAGTGTAGATGGCCACAGTGATGAGGATGGTCGTGTGTAGTGTGGATGGCTACAGTGATGAGGATGGTCGTGGTGTAGTGTGGATGGCCACAGTGATGAGGATGGTCGTGTGTAGTGTGGATGGCCACAGTGATGAGGATGGTCGTGTGTAGTGTAGATGGCTACAGTGATGAGGATGGTCGTGTGTAGTGTGGATGGCTACAGTGATGAGGATGGTCGTGTGTAGTGTGGATGGCCACAGTGATGAGGATGGTCGTGTGTAGTGTGGATGACAACACTGCTGCAGGTTGTGTTGAGTGAAGACGAGGCGAGCGCCACCTGAGCAACACCGGGTTCCCCTTAGTGGTAAACAAGCACATACAGGTGAACAAACTATGACTGCCAAATTCCCCTTATAAACAACAGCCAAGAGAAGAGTGTAGTCCTTAAGACGAGCAAGGAGAGCAGACCTCACCGTAGTTGAACCTGCCCACAGTGGTCATCATGGGCACGAGGCCCAGTGGCCGGTCCGGCGCCGCGTAGAATGTTCTGGTAACGGTGTTCCCGGCGGGGAACTGCGTCTTCCACGCGCCCCTGAAGAACACGGCGTTGAGAAGCACGAAGTCTACGTTGGTCAGTAGTTGTGGCTCGACCAGGCTGGTGATCTCGCCCCTGGTGGCCTGGCTGACGTCCGTGTTGATCTTCTCGGCCGCCTCGACGGGTCTGGAGAAGTCGAGGAGTCTCAGTTCCGGTAGATACGACGTCAGGCAGGTGTTGAGGATCATGTCCTGGGAGAAGTAGGCCTTGTTAGTGCTCTGGAAGGTGGAGGTGCTGCTGCTCCTGCTCCTGCTGGTGTATCCGTTGTTGCTGATCTTGCTGTTAATCCTGACGCCGGAAGGTTTAGCCGTGGTAACTCCTCCTGCTGTTGATAACCTGCCGGGGTTAGAGGTCTCTTAACTACAAACATCTACAGTTAATATACTGTTTTGTCTTAACACTCTGAGACTTATTTCATGAGACAGTTATAGTCTTTCTCGAGGTGTTGTTCACACAAGGAACGTTGCATTAAATTCACCACTATAATTAAAATGTATCCGTATTAACATTATACTTTATACACACATAGAGTAATCACACTCACGTGATGTGTCAATGAGAAAATCCGTAGGAGCCGTGAGGAGGATTCGAAGCTGTGCGGTGGGTATTCTCACGCACACGTCCCAGACAACCAGGCCACAACATAGTCAGAAGGATTGCAGCCTGGAGTTCTACTAAACACACGAGGGTTTCCTGAGGCTTCCACTGAAGCCGGACCAGGATTTTCACACAATCCCCCAATGCACTCTGGCTCTGTAATCCAGATATTTTCTACCTCTGAAGCTCCTCTTTCAATACACAGAGAGTAATGATTTTCTCACTGATACATCACGTTAGTGTGATTACTCTGTGTATTGAAAGATGAGCGTCAGAGGTAGAACATTTCTGGGTGACAGAGCCAGAGTGCATGGGGGGGGGGGAAGTGTTCGAAAATCCTGTTCTGGCTTCAGTAGAAGTCTCTGTACACGTTTGTGAGCTCAATAGAACTCTAGGTTGCAATCCTTTTGACCATGTCGAGACCTGGTTGTCTGGGGCGTGTGTGTGGGAATATCCACAACATAGGTTCGAAACCTCTTCACAGCTTCGACAGATTTTCGCAGTATACTAAATGTTATTTGAAGGAAATAATAATTATTACTGTTCTTCATTTAAATAATAATGTTATTAATTTTTCCATTCGTGGTGTGTGTGTGAGCTTACATTTGGTCCAGGAACCTCCAGTGGCTGAATGTGGAGATCTTGGTACTGAGCCGGAGAGCTCCAGCCAACTGGTCCTTGGTTCGACCCTCGGCACCGAAGAAGGCGAGGCAAAGAGCGCTCCAGATACTGTAAGGTGAGATTACCGTGTTCTCTCCTGGCTGCTTCTCTTGCTGGGCACTCACCACCCTCTTGAAGAGGTTCATCCCGAACTTGGCCACGCCCTTAGAGAACTCCGGATGGGGCACCTCGGGCACCTCCTCCATGAAGCAACTATGGATATCTGCGCGAGCAAGAGGCGTCAGGGAGACCAGAACGACGGCCAGCACGAACTGGAGCAGGTCACGGTACGTCATCCTCACCGGACACGATCACTGTAAACAAAGACAACATCAGCAGACGTTTTTTCTTGTGGAAAACTTCTCACATCACATATAAAACCTTTAATACAGCATATAGTAAGAAATTACTTCTGTTCTTGTGTTAATAAAATCATAAATTAAATTAAATAAGTAAGCCCCAAAAGGAAAGTAATGATACTTTCAAGAAAACGTATAGTCGTAAATGTTTGCCACGTCACCTAGAAATCCTCTCGCAACACGTGATTACATACTATAACAATAACAGTTCCAGTCTGAGCACTGAATTGGGAAATTATATTGGGAAATATTTCTATAAATTAAATTTAATTATGAGTATTCAAATAAACTAAATAAAACCCCTATTTCCGTGAATCAATCAAAACGAATTTGGGGACCCGGCCCCCGGTCCTAGGAGGGGGAGGGGGGGGGGGGCATTTTGAGTCTAACAGGGAGGACGTGTCGGGTTGATCGCTCACAACAGTAAACTTTTACGTTGTTCTCCGAGTGTTCGACGGCCACATTACTGCACGCCATCTCCCAGGATAAGTGTCTTTCCTGACACACATTTTAATATGTTTTGAGCTCTTAGCATAGTTAAATTATCACCGGTTATGATAGATGACCAACCCGTCCTCGACTCCAGTCCATTCCATCCAGCGGTCGACCCCACAGACGCATTCATAATTTTTTACATTTACATAAATTCAAAACGGGAATTTTCTCATATATAAATATAATATATTAGCATATTGTGTATATATATATATATATATATATATATATATATATATATATATATATATATATATATATATATATATATATATATATATATATATATATATATATATGTCGTACCTAATAGCCAGAACGCACTTCTCTGCCTACTATGCAAGGCCCGATTTGCCTAATAAGCCAAGTTTTCCTGAATTAATATATTTTCTCTAAATTTTTTCTTATGAAATGACAAAGCTAACCATTTCATTATGTATGAGGTCATTTTTTTTTTATTGGAGTTAAAATTAACGTAGATATATGACCGAACCTAACCAACCCTACCTAACCTAACCTAACCTATCTTTATAGGTTAGGTTAGGTTAGGTAGCAGAAAAAGTTAGGTTAGGTTAGGTTAGGTAGGTTAGGTAGTCGAAAAAGCATTAATTCATGAAAACTTGGCATATTAGGCAAATCGGGCCTTGCATAATAGGCTGAGAAGTGCGTTCTGGCTACTAGGTACGACATATATATATATATATATATATATATATATATATATATATATATATATATATATATATATATATATATATATATATATATATATATATATATATATATATATATATATATATATATATATATATATATATATATATATATATATATATATAGGCTTAGGTTAGGCGTTTAGGTTCTGTAGGCGATTATTTTATTCCGTGGGTGAAGCATCCAGCGGTTATTTTCAGCATTGTGATTCGAACAAAATTCGTCAGTGAAGTACTTGTTCCGGAAGTGATCGAACGTCATCAGTTGTGAGTCGTGTGTAAACTGTTTTTTCATTGATAAACGCGGGGGGGGGGGGGGTTGGCGGGTGTATGAAATCACTTTTGGGTCTTTGGAGGACGGGCTGCGTGTTGCCTTAACACCAACACCTGGTACACTCCCCCACACGTGTTGCCTTAACACCAACACCTGGTACACTCCCCCACACGTGTTGCCTTAACACCAACACCTGGTACATTCCCCCACACGTGTTGCCTTAACACCAACACCTGGTACATTCCCCCACACGTGTTACCTTAACACCAACACCTGGTACACTCCCCCACACGTGTTGCCTTAACACCAACACCTGGTACACTCCCCCACACGTGTTGCCTTAACACCAACACCTGGTACACTCCCCCGCACGTGTTGCCTTATCACCAACACCTGGTACATTCCCCCACACGTGTTGCGTTAACACCAACACCATACACTGAGTGTGTCTGTGGCCGCTCTGCTTGTATGGGGAGGGAAAGCGCGTGCATGTGTGAATGCACGCATGCACACACGCCACAATAGAGCGCTACATCTCGCACGCAAAACTGAACTATTTACGGACATTTAACGTTGCTTGAAATCACTTTGTTGTTATTGATAAAATACCTTAACTTCTTGTACTTATCCACATTTTTATAATATATAAAGGAAATTTTACAAAGAAATATTACAAATTAAAAGCTCTCCAGATTTTAAAATTGTCTCATTTTATACACACAGTGTCATGGTAACGAGGTGTCATCACCTGTTAATTTTCGTGATTTACACACATACATTGAACATGTACACAGTGTATGTGTACATGTATACTGTGTACATATACACATACAGTGAACATGTACACATACAGTGTACATGTACACATACAGTGTACATGTACACATACAGTGTACATGTACACATACAGTGTACATGTAAACTTTACTTGTGAACTGCAGTATTTCTGTTTCTCTGTAATATCCATTTTTTTAAATATCATATCAAGTAAAATATAAATAACTCAACTAAATACACAATGTTGCATTAATATGCAAAGTAATTACAGAAAAAAACATAAAATGTGCAACAAGTAATATGATCTACATCACGGGGAGCTGGACAACCTGCCAACCTGTGGAAGGAAGTACACATCATTCTCATTTCTGAGCCGAAACATCCTGACAATTACAGACCCATTTCATTAACATCATACATTAGTAAAACTGCAGAACGGATGGTCTTAAATAGGCTACTGTGGGAGATTGGAGACCTGCATAAACACATATTTGGCTTCACTAGAGGAGTAGGTACTGCCAACTGCATAGCAACATTACTAGGAACAGTTAAGTCAGCGCCGGCTATAATGATCTTCCTTCATTTAGAAAACGTATTCGATAAGGCAATACTACACACGTTAATAAAAAAAAATGTGTCACGGGGAAAATGATAACATGGATTCAATATTATCTTAGTCACAGGTATGCCAGAGTAAAGCTGCAAGCCAACTGTCACACTACTAGATGACAACCTAGTCATCAACACAACCGACTATATGATCATGGGCTGCATGAGAATGGGCTCAACATGCGGAAAGAATTAAATATACTTAGCATTAGAGATAGAATATTTGAAATTAATCTAATGATGGGACTAAAGCTGCTGCGTGATAACAAAAACAACATTGTGTCAGTTGAACTGTTAGAATACATACGTAATGGAACCAGCGAGTCTAAATGGATTCAAAGAACAGCCACTCATATTAAAATGATGGGACTGCACGATGTATATACAGATGAAAGAGTACAGCACTTCCTTCCACCCTGGCAGATAGTACCTTTTGACATCCTGACCCCCGCATACCCCACCAAGAAACTAATCACAAGCAACCCTCATGCTCAGCTTGCTGCTAAATTAAGCACCATAGAACACATTCACAATATACAAGCTGAAAACAACATAGCACAGACCATACACACTGACGGATCACTCAATACAGCTACAGGGAGGGCAGGAAATGCTGTTATTGCTCATCAGCCCGATGGCAGCACAATTCAAAGAAATATCCGAATTAGTAACTGGGCGTCCACAATGCAAGCCGAGTTGGTAGCGATACTGCAACCCGTTCTCGCAAACTCGCAAAGTTAATATTGACTTATTAACTACGTGCATAGGCGATATACTAAACATAATAGATCCCCTTAAAAAGATTCATAGAAAACACCGACCTTACCTAACCTTGTTAGTATCTTAAGATAAGCATCTTATTGCTTCGTAATTACAATTATTACTTAACCTATACCTATTATAGGTTAGGTAATAATTGTAATTACGAAGCAATAAAATGCTTATCTTAAGATACTAACAAGGTTAGGTAAGGTCGGTGTTTTCTATGAATCTTTTTAAGGGTATCTATTATGTTAAGTATGTCACCTATGCACATATTTAATAAGTCAATATTGACTTATTAAATTTGCGAGAACGGGTTGCGATACTGGTAGCACTCGAAATTATTGACAACACTGAAGTAGACAGCTTAATTATTTCCGACTCACTTTCCTCACTACGAGCAATAAACAGTTTGCAATCAAGTAATAACGTGTTTGTCTTGGAAGCTAGACGTAGATATATAAGAATACTTAGCAAGAGGGTAAATGTAAAAATGTTGTGGATTCCTTCTCACACTGGCATGCAGGAACATGACAAAGTTGATGCCCTTGCTAAGGCTGCAGTAAATAAAGACAGTATTGAACGGAATCTTGAGTTATCAAATAGGTCCCTTAAAAGTGTCATTAGACGAGAACTCCTGGATGGATTTGAAGAAAGTAGAACAGTGCAAACTGGAACTAGCAGGTCCATTGTTCATCACAATGAAATGTGTGAAGTAAAACATGTGTATGGGGCAAGTAACAAAGTCAGTAGACTAACAGATGTTGTCACAGCTCGTATAAGATTTGGTTACAAGTATCTCTGGCAGTTCGGCTTGTATAGGGATCTAGATGAAGTAAAGTGTAAAGTGTGTAGACATAGGCAGGGACACACACTCGAACACTATATCTTGGATTGTTGTAAAATTGAGCCTTTTAGAGATAAATCTGGGCTCACTCTGTATGATATGGCAACCTATCTTATTACCATGGATAAATTACCTGAAATCCTTGCATTGTACCCACATTTTGCTTCCAGTAGATGAATGACATATGAGATTGTGTAGAATGAGTAGGTGCCAGACAGGCACCTACACATTCAAGACATTAACCTTCAGTGGGTTACACAATATCAATATCTCGGAGTGTGGATAGATTCTAAAATGACATTCAACAAGCAAATTCAATGTCTGAAGGAGAAAGCAAAATCACGATTGAATATTATGAGAGCAATCACAGGGCCCCGTCTAGGAGCGGGACACAAAGTGTTAAGAATGTTTTATATACACGCCTAGCTGATTATATAGCGCCTGCTTTACTCCAAGCCAGTGGGCAAACGTTGAGGTT